AAAAAGAAAAAAAAAAAAAAAAAGACTGCAGCGGGAGTAGAGAGCCAGATTTCATTTAGAGCAGGAAAAGGAACATCCAGCATTTGAGGGCATAGATTTTGCTAATGACAGAAATGAGGCTCAGAGATTACGTGACTTGATCAGAGTCACAGTGAGCATAGTTGAGGATGGAACCAGTGCTTTTTCTCTACACCGAGGCACTGTGCTCCATTTATGGTTTTTATGTGACGTAACAACTAGGATGGGTCCCACACACCAAGAATCTGAAACCCGAAGGCCCGAGAATCTGCGCAAGACAGCGGTTACGCAAGCGCGGAACAATTCGCTGGCTGCGCAATGCCCTGTGGGTCGTGTAGTTTCTGGGCTGGGCATGACCGGAAGGAGGAGAGAAGAGCGCATTGCATGGCGGGAGATATAGTCCTCCCGGGAAGTCCCTCCTTCCTCGGAAGCCTGGCGGCGCCGGCGCACACTGCTCTTCCTTAAGGGCGGGAGTCTCGGTTTGTGGCGGGTTCGATGAGGCGGTTGTGGCCGCACTACCGTTAGAAGCTCAATTTCCCGGAGGCTCTAAGGCCCTTTGAGGCGAAATGGCTCCGGGCGAGAAAGGAGCAGGGGGTGGCAAAGGAAGGGCCGCCGCGGCCTCAGGCTGACCGCAGGGTGGGATCCTGAGGGCCCTCCAAGTTCCCTGGGCTTGCCGCTTTCTTTCTTTGCCGCCAGCCTGCCTACCGCGAGGATGAGCTCGGCCTCGGTCACCGCTTTCGAGAAGGAGCATCTCTGGATGTATCTGCAGGCGCTCGGCTTCGAACCAGGCCCGGCGACCATTGCTTGCGGAAAGATCGTGTCGCACACGCACCTCGGAGTGTAAGGAGGCTGGGGCCGGCGGGGCGAGGGAGGCTGAGTCAGGGGACGCCGGGGGACTCGCCCTTTTGTAGACGCCGGAGGTTGATTAATCGCAGTTGGTTGAGCGGTTATTCTATGCCAGGAACTGGCTGCAAAGCTCCTACTCCCAGTTGCTGCCAGCCTGGTGGCAGAGACAGACAGTAAATAATGGAAGAGTGCCTGAAGCGCTCTGCTGGGGAGTGCGAAAGTCAGCAGATGGGCTGAAAGTAAAACTGGAGGGGCAGCTTAACTCGGCCTCGGTGGTGGAGGGATGACGCGTGGTAGTGGAAGAGCATGGAAACCACAGTACAAACACCTTTAACTTTATAGTTTTTACTTTTTGAATTAGGAAAGTAAGGCGTGCTAGACAGCATAAAACAATAGAGAAGGATATTAAAAACTAATACCCTTTTAATGAAAAGTATGGAAAATAAAAGCCCCTTTACTGCTTTTTTCACTTATGTTAAGGTTATGGATCCCTCCCAATAACCCACTGAAAAGGACTCTGTTTGTATTTCTGTGTTTTATGAACTTTAGCCAGTGTCTTTATTTAGTCATTCTTACTGTAGGCCAAGAGGAATTTGGGATATATACATTGGCCATCTTCTATTCTCCTCAATCTGTTTGACTTTTGTAAATTATATAATTTCAGTTCTTCTAGTAGCTGTTTGTTTGTTTGTTTTTGTTTCTGGATACGGAATCTGGCTCTGTTGCCCAGGCTGGAGGGCAGTGGCCTGATCTCAGCTCACTGCAACTTCCACCTCCTGGGTTCAAGCAATTCTCCTGTCTCAGCCTTTGGCGTAGCTGGGATTACAGGCCCCCGCCACTGCACCCAGCTACCCCTGTGTCTTTAGAGTCCTTTTCAGTGTGTTATTGGGAGGGATCCACCATCATTTTGTTTTTTCTTTCTTTTTTCCTTAAAAAAATATGTTATCATTTTAGAGATAGCAGCTAACCATGCTGCCCAGACTGGTCTCAAAATTCCTGGGCTCAGGCAATCTTCTGCTTCGGTCTTCCAAAGTGCTGGGATTACAGATGTGAGCCACTGTACCGGCATTTTTTTTTTTTTTTTT